CTCAAGGGCATCTGTGGGATTACCCGACGCCGTTCGCGGCGGCGGGAGGCGGGGCGGGGGCAGCCAGCCCTGCACTGTTTGGATAGGGAGATAACATCAAAGCAGCCTGCTGCTTGTGTTAAGAAAATACTGCATTCTGGGTCAACGCAAATGAATCCAGGAGGAGCTTGAAACTGTTTTTAATGGCATCCCCATCGATATATTATCACTGGGCAGAATTTGTGTGGAGAGGTCACACATGACATCTGCACAGGCCTTTGTTCCTGCAACCCCAGAGCCTCATTTAGTCTGCTGTGGCTGACTTTGATGATTTAGCTGTTTGTGTTGGACCACGTTTATGAATGAAGGAGATCAGGGGGCGAGTGCATTGTCAGTGAGAGTTAACACTAATGGTCTAAACTGCTGCTGAGCTGAACACATTACTTACTTTTAATTATTACTTGGATGTTAATGGATGAGTATACGGGAACTCCCTGAAATTAAACCAAAAACTTTGTTTTGTTTTGTTGTTTTTTTGCCATGCTGTCTGCTTTGGTTCAAATGTGTTGCTATTCCTGATGTGTTGAGTTAAAGGTGTGAGCCTCTGAGATATACATGGAGTTAAAGGTGTGAGCCTCTGAGATATTTACCTGCCCTGTGTTCTGCCCCCCACAGCTGCACCACTGATCACTCTGATGAGCAGGAAGCTTCAGGGCTCACACTGCTGCTCTTTTGATCTCCGGATGACCTGCTCAGCACAAGGCATCCAAATCCTCCTCATCTCATGTCAGATTTAGAAAAAGACAGGTGAGTGTCTTTAAAGACTTTTTGAGAAGTTTGTCCTCAGGAAAAAGCAGTAATCTTAAAGTGCAAAAATTATTTAATTTTTTTGAAGGCTGTTATTTGTATTGATAAACCATAGCATTTATACACTTTCTGCAGGGGGAGCTATGTGTGATTAAATGATATGTTTGATAAATTATACAAATGATAATCAGAGTATGACGGACTGTGATTTCCAGTCTGGTCATACTGGTGTTAATCACCTGTCGACCAGAGATGGCGCTGCTATGGGCTACTGTAATTCAGAGCAACTTAGTCCACCTTGTCTTACAAGAGCCAGACACAGCAGACACACACACACACACCACACCACAACACACCTCAAGTGGCCCTTTGAAGATGACTTTTGTACTATTATATTCTGTAGATTTTTTTTTCCCAGGAAATGTTTCATACTGTAACTAAAGTAAACACACAGGTGCCATCACTGCAGTCTGTTCAGTTTTATTAAAGCATAAAGAAAAACAGTTCCAGCCAAGCCCTGCTTTTTTTCTTATCTCATTTCCACATCAAAATGGTTTCTCTCCTTTCTCATTGCGAGAACACCATACTCCCCAAACCAACAGGGAATCATTGGGTGAATTTCCGCTCTTTCTTTTCTACTTCCAACTGCTTCCCGTGGCTCCTAAAAGGATGCCAATTTAGCTGAATTCAGACTGAGCTGAAAGGCACTCTGTTACCTGTCCGCTGGGGTAGAACCTCTGCGGTGGCTGCCCTTTCCCATGCTTCCACTGCAGGACCTGGTCCACAGGCAGACAGAGGAGACACCTGTTCCCTGAGAGAGTTTGGCCAGCATCTGAAATCTTAGCATTGGAGCTCTCTATTGAGAACGGGCAGCTCGATAAAGCCCCAGCACTGTGATGGAGCGGAGGAAACCTGAGGAGAGAGCAGGAAAGGGAATGCCTATGGCTAGATGAATCTGGTGCAATTTGCCAAAACACAGTGCCTCCCTCCACAAGACCATTACCTACACTTGCAATAGAAAAGCCATTGTCTGTTCTTGCCTCCTTTTAACAGTGTATTCTCTAATGCAAAGCACGGATACAACAGTCTGTCTGTGCTGCAGTCAGGGACCAAATTCAACGTTGTAGGCATCAGAGTGAATAAAGTGTTCCCTGGTGAAAATCGGGACAAATACTGGGAATACAATTTGGACAGAATTAAATCCCATCTCTCTAAGTACTTTAGGTTTTCATTTTGAGCACAGCATTTCTGAATATAACAAGCTTCATTAAGGAAGCAATGGCCTTAGGGGTCAATGACCCCATGTTGGAGACCTCTGCTCTAAATCATAAATCATTAGCAGAGAAACCGCACAACTTCTTCAAAATACTAAAACCAGTTTAAGATTCTGATACTTAAAATAAAAAATAACAGAATAAAGCAGTGAAGCTGAGCCTACAGTAGGTCCATAAGTGAAATTATTGAAATACCTTATTAGAATAGTGAAGTCTGGGAGAAAAAGAAAGTCTGCTGAACTTTTAAATCCCTTCTACATGTGTGTAAGTGAAGCCCAGTGTGAATTCCTGATGGTATTATTGCTTTAAAAATCGCACAGAACAAGATATTTCTCCATTCCTCACCCTTTGCTGTCAGGAACATGGGTCACTGGGGCAAACTTGGTGCAATAAGAGTTTGTGCAAGATGTTTCCCCCACGAGGCCCTCAATGAGCCCCATACCATCTCCCCGCTCATAACATATATCAGCGCTTCACGCTGTGGCTGAATCACCTTCCTCTCACCAACTTTGATGTCCAGGACATCCCAGAGCACTATTTGTAATTACTGTTGGACTCAGCCGCAGTGCAGTCACATACCGGCCCCCGTAGACACCGATCTGTAACGTTGTTCTAATCCCTCTAACTTTTTTATGGTTCCCTCCACACTTCCGTTGCTGTAACATCTTGCAAGTGCACCCTCGCTGATGTGTTTCAGTTGCATATGTTATGGCATAAAAGTGTCATCCACCTCAGCACTCAGCTATGCTGACGGTGGACAGGATGGCCACCGAGGGGCCATTACCAAGGTCTAGGTCAACGTCTTTGTGCAGCCTTCAGAAGCAACAGGGACATAACCAGCAGATCTTGTGCAAGCAGTGAACGGTCTGCAAGGAGCCCAGATGTAAACTTCTGAATCTTCAAAGATTTTCCCATTTGACGTTCACCATCAAGCATATATTATGTGCTATAAGAAAGTTTTATATTATGGTTATGTCAGTGAAGAGATGAGAGGGACAGTGTGATTTACAAAAAAGCAGAGTTGTGCTGTTAACAGCAGGACATTTATGTGGAATACAGCTCTTAAAATAAGCCCTTGGTGATTTTCAGTGGAGAGTGGTTTTGTCTTTCCCTGTGGTGCAGTCTCACTAGTGGCTGCGGTTGATTTGAGCGGAGATATTTGAACAATATGCAAGTGGGCAATGACAATAAATCACATTAAAATAAAACGTTTTCTTTGGCAGTTACTGTAATCTCATTTAACCACATTCTGAAAACAAGGAAAATCCCCAGGATCAGTCATCAGCCTTACGTAAGCAGTTTTTCCATTATGTTTTCACCAAAAACATTTTGTCAATGAATGAGACCTCGTTCTTTACAAACACTTGCACAGAGACTCTAAATATTTTCCGAAAGCTACGAAAACAATTAATTTCCAATTTATTTAAATCTATTCGTTATTGTTTTCCTCAAGATACTGTATATGCCTGTTTACTCCTTGGGGTAAATTAATACTTACGATAGAGGCAGTTGTTGGCTGTTGGCTGACCTCATTGCTGAAGTGTGTGGCCCAAATCTTCCAAATGATCGGGGTGGAACCCCAGATATCTGATTAATTGGGTGTTGTTTTATAACAGTATTGTCAACCATGTGACACTTCTCTGTAGTGTGTGGATCACAATTTCCAAATACTACTCAATGTTGGCTACCAAATAATATAACTAATTTCAGTTTGTGGTGCACAATTTCAATATGATCAGCAAGCATGACAACTCAAGGACGATTTAACATTTTTAGACTTGAGCCTGATGAAAAAAAGGTCTTTTGTAGGAGCAGTCAGAGAGGTTCAACCTTTAGTCTCAAGCTGTCCTCACCTTTACGCGTGACTCACTTGGTTGAGATGTTCTCAAGCTCAGGCATCCGTCTTGTCTGAGGATCACCGGGTGATTTATGACCCTAACATGTGGGGAGAGAACAATCAATCCTGGAATTTAGCAGCAAGAAAGATGCAGTAAAAAAACAGTGGAATGGGAAGAAGACAGAAACAGAAATGGAGGAAAGGGCATCGGTGTGTGCAGCTGAGGCCATTAGCCTTTTCCCTTCTGGAGCCGGGGCTATGATGGGTGCTCTCCTGTAGAAAGAGAAGGAGGTGGAGACGGGGGGAGGGAAGGGGTAATAGAATAACTCCCCCATTAACCCAGGGGAGCTGCCTCTCAGAGATGCTATCAATACGAGCACACGTCTCCATCAGGCCCACCTGCCACTCTCTGGCCACAGCCACTGGAAAACACGCCCCGCCTTTTTCTTGCATCTGTCCATCATCCGACCAACCACAGTGAGAGAGACAAATCTGTTGGAGAGGACACATTCAGCAAAGTAAAATTATCTTTATTATTGGTGTGAGACATTATCAGTGGCGGAGCAGCAGAGTTGGTATCGTTACAGAGAGCAGGACCTTCCTGCTAATATTTGCTGCATGTTTACAGTGCAGATGTGTGCACGGTGGACTGACGTGCACTTAAGGAGCTGCGCCTCTAACAGGCAGAATGTAGGCTTGTATTTTTTAAAGTAAACACCATCTCCACAGTGAGTGTATTATTTTAAAGGTAACTGACAGTGCTGATAAAACGTCATGTACTGCCATTCCAGGCTCTTATTCGAAATATGATGTAATCAGCTTCTAATTTGGTTTGTTTACTCTGTGCTCACTTACAGTATGTGGCTGCCTTCTGCCAGACATTTAACTGCCGGGAAAAAAAAAAAAAAACATTGATTGCATCAGGAAAAAAGGAAACAGGGGGAGAAAGTGAAATCTTGAAAATCCAATTTACTTTATCACTGCAATGCTGAAATGCACTGTTTTTTTTCTCATCGGTGCGTTGACTAACTTGTAGGTGAGATTATTTTAGATTCCATTTCAAAGAGCACAAATGGATATAAGTGAGCTTCATCTGGAGACACACATGAAAAGTGAATTGTATTTGTCATTCTTGATAATTGCCACCACCCTGACACTGCAGCACACTGGCCAAAAGATCTTAACGATGTGGCCTGAATTTGTAAAATTGAAATTTGCAAATTGTATGTCATGTTGGGTTGTGTTTAAGCAAACAAAAAAAAAGCTTTTTCGTCAGGACTGTGTATGTCCAACAATATTTAAATATTCATACAGACGTAAATAATGAGGACATGACTATATCCTACATACTGTACCTTTAAACAATCGCCTAATTGTCAACAAAGCATTACCCAAGAGCCCGTTCTTCCTCCTTTGCCTCCTCACAGTAGTAGCTACGCTGATAGAATCAGCCTTCACTCTGCTGTTTATTGGAAACTTGCGAAGTACGGGTGTCTCTGGATACCTTGAGTGGATAACCATATGCTGTCACAGTAGACCAGACGTGCCTCATATTGAGAGCTCTGTTGACCTGGGAATTGTGTGGGAGGTGGAGAGCGGGGGTGGGAGCGGCACCAGGGACTTGTGAGAGTTTTGGAGAGGTACAAATCAAGGTTTTAACTACTCCAGCCGTCTCTCCTACTCACAATGTATAGGCTGGGGTTTGATTGTGTTTGCGATTGTGTGTGTATGTGTGTGTTGGTAGCGCTCAGGTTACTCATATTTACGTCGCAGAATGAGAAGTAATCACAGTGTGGGGCAGAGTGGTGTGGATGATGCTGCCGCAGTGGAGTATGATGGGTATGAGCGAGAAATACCATGAGAGACAGATGGGCTTACCAACAGACGGGGACAGAGGGACAGACAAATACTGTACCAGGGCCAAAGACCTTTAATGGGTCACGCATTTAATCAAAGGCAGATGTTCAGCCACATCAGCTGGAGCCTCACAATTACTCCTGGAAGAGCACAAACCCTAACCAACTATCCAGTAAACATGCATTCTCCTCAAGTTCCTGTAGAGTCACGATATATATTATTATAATATACTATATATTGTGCAATTATGCAGTTTTTTTTTTTCAAGAGTTGCTTCTAAAGTTGCTTCCAAAACCCCATGGAAGCTGTTGACCTCCACAGTATTAGTCTACAGCTGAACATTAACAAATCAATTAATGGAATTATTCATTATTTTAACAGCCCTAATATTTATATTGTAATTTTATACACATGAAAGGTACATTCAAGTAGGGACAAAAAAATACCAATACTGTGCTTTCAAAAAATGTTTTTATGAGACAATTGTTCAGACAACATTCTTATGCAGTGAATTTGGCCGACAATGACGTCAAAATCGTAACTCCATCCCAGAATGGCCACTTGGTACTTTTTCGCAATTTTGAAATTGTTGATAAAAGTCAGCAGAGTTTTTCTGAACTGTGTGTCCATTGACCTCACGTATTTAGTACCTGGCAACTGAATGGAACTGTTAAACCTGAGCCCTGGAATCACAGAGTAAAATCCCTCACAAATCCATTACTCCCTAACTTTTCATGGGAGATAGAACTTGTTCCCTTCCATTACTTTGACTGCAACTCGGGGTGTACAAAAATCTGAGTGTGCCTCATATTTAGCTGTTTTGCTCGCCTTAATGGTGCCCAATCAGTTCCACCAGGACCAGGCCAACAGGGTAGGCGGCCTCTAGCCTGATTACACTGAATTGTGGGTATTTCCTGCCTCTAAGCTCCGCATATGGATCCAGTAAGGCAGCGGCTGAGGGACTACCGTTTCTCTCCACTATATCTTCATTTCTTTTTTTCCCCCCTATTTTTCTTTTAACAAAAAAAAGCAAAATGCTTTTGTTTTTTCTGGCTCTGCTGTCAAAACACTTGGCCCAGTGTCTGCTCACACATAGCCAAAGATAGTCCCGTGAGACAAATGTGGCTAAATGCAGTTTAATCCACATGATCACCCTCCGTCTGTGGGCTCTGCCACACCTACTGCTGACCTATGAGGCAAAAACATTTATGTCACTGTGA